TAGCTCCAGCAGCTGTAAGTGCTAGCTCCAGCAGCTGTAAGTGCTAGCTTCAGCAGCTGTAAGTGCTAGCTCCAGCAGCTGTAAGTAAGTACTAGCTCCAGCAGCTGTAAGGGCTAACTCCAGCAGCTGTAAGTGCTAGCTCCAGCAGCTGTAAATGCTAGCTGCAGCAGCTGTAAAGAACGTTACTTTTCCAGAAGTCCTAACAGCTGTCCCGACCTCCTGAGTCTGCTTGGGCTTGGAGGTTCCTCCCTGAGCCTTACCTGCCGAGATGGAGAAGCCAGCTGCGTAGCCATGGCCTGTCCTTCTGCAGGATCGGGTGCACCTGACCATCTGAACCAACAAGAGCTGGGCAGGCAATCCCAGAGATGAGGCAGGTGCTTGAGTGAAGTGGGGCCACCAGGCAGGCAGGCAGGCAGAGCATCAGTATCTCCTGTCGGATCCATCCAGCAATAGTGAGAGTGTCACAGGGGACACGGCACTATTTTTCGAGTGCTTTTAACAACCACTGTCTACTTCTCCCTATCCTCTTTGCAGAGTGGTTGCTTTCATTGACATTGCTGAGGTAAAGTGGACTCTGTACACTGATCAGAGACATAGTCTGTTGATCCAGGGCCAATGTCCTCACCCACAATGGCTTTGTCCTTGGTGTGGCAGACCTTCCTCCCCCTGCGAGGTCATTGCCTGGCAGAGGTGTCCAGTCACCTGTGCAGGGACCTCCCTGCCCCTTTGAACTGGGATGGGGTGCTGTACCTATTTTCGGGGCTCAGTGTCATGTGATCTTTGATGTCCTTGTCCTCTGTGACTCATACAAACCTGTGAGAGGGACACTAGTCCCACTTAATGACAAGGACATCCATAAGCTTGAAGGTGAAGGCCAAGCTAATGGAAGGTCTGGGACCCAGTCCAAATGTGTTTGGCCTCATAGCTACCTGGGCTATAATTACCGTGTCAACCCCTAGAAGGACTTGGAAGGGATGGGTCACATGGTGGGGCTGCCCTACCTATGGAAGATCGGATTGCATTTAAATGCAGCAAGAAGCTGTGCTTGCATGTGGAAGGACAAGTGCAGGCCTCCTTGCACACAACACAGGGATAGGGCTCTGAGCATCCCCACGGCCATGCATAATAGCTTCCTGCCTGGGAGCATGGACCAGTAAGAATCCTGACCTCTGTTTTACAGAGCTCAGCTCCCATATCAGGAAAAGACCTACTTGTCTTTTGGACAATGTGTCTGTCTCTCTGAATCTGTGTGGAAAGAACTCAGTCACCTTCCTGACCCCTTGCCCAAGAGAAGAGCATAGGTTCCTAACTATCCAGGGATTCCCTCTCTCCACTCTTAGCTGGGAGCCTGGGACCTTCCCAATCTTTGGCGTGCAAGGGTGTGAGGTCTGTGGGCCTCAATCTACAAGGCTGGGTGGAGTGAGGTCTGCCAGGGCCTCTGCCATACTTTTAAATGTGGTAGGGTGCTGGGCACAGGCTTGTGGCCTGGGCAACCTTAGGTGCCAAAGCTCACTCAACATCTGTGTCTCAGCCCTAGACAGCAGGGGGCACTGGAGTCTCATGTAGCTTCTGTGTCTCAGGCCCAGCCCAAGTCTCTGTCTCAGGAGGGGCCACAGAGGTCTCACTCAGTCTCTTGTCTCAGGCCTGCAGGTACGGCCATGTCCAACATCTGGAACATCTGCTCTTCTACGGCGCGGACATGAGTGCACAGAACGCCTCGGGGAACACAGCCCTGCATATCTGTGCCCTCTACAATCAGGTCAGTGGCATGCACATCCCTCATCCTAACCTTGGGTGTGCACTGGGCAAGGGATGGAGGGGCTGGCCTGGATGTCTATGCAACCCTTACCCGCTGCCTTAGTGGGAACCAGAGACCGGTGAAGCTGAGCAACCGCAGGTCACATTCCAGGTCTACAGTCAGCCCTGCGCAGTGCCAGTGACCCGGGCTGCTTGTTGTCTAGAAGACACAGGAGGAGCTGGGACCACTTGTTCCCTTGGCTGAGTGCCAACTTTGCTTGGCACCTGGGTCACCACTGCTCTCTCCTTTTCACTTGTGGTTAAATGTGCATTAACAAATGTCACTCTCGGAAACATTGTGGGTGCACAGTTCTTTGACGTCCAGTGTATTCAGTGCAGCACAGCCATCCCCACCTCCAGAACTTCTTATCTTCCCAGACTGAATCTCTGTTCCCAGGAGACACTGACCCCTTGACCCCTTCCCAGCCCCCAGTATCCCGTCCTGCTTTCTGCTGGGTCTGAGGACTCTAGGGACCTCCAAAGACTAGGATCCTGCAGGAGCTGGCTTCTTCTACTCAGCATCTTGTTCTCATGGTCCAACCTGTGGTAACAAGTGTCAGGTGCTCTTCCTTCCAAAGCTTGTTCCCACACCACTGAGGGATGGGCACCTTTGCTCACCCCCTCTCCTGTGGGTGGACACGTGGCTTGTTCTGCCTTTGGCTGTTGTGGTTTGTGCTGCCATGAACCCAGGTGTGCAGACTCAGGCTCTAGCCTCAGCTTTCTTCTGGCCCCCAGGCTGATAAGCAGAAATCAAGGTAAATGATATACACTGATGTACTGCACCCCTCCCCCAAGCTACTGTGTCTGACCCTGGTGGTGTGTTCTGGAAGCCCCAGAGACTGGAGAACATGGTCTCTGCTCTCTGAGAGAGAGAGAGAGAGAGAGAGAGAGAGAGAGAGAGAGAGAGAGAGAGAGAGAGAGAGCGAGAGAGAGAGAGAGAGACTGACTTTAGTGGCTGGGACTTGGGTCCTGGACCATGGGTACCCTGAGCTGGATGAGGAGGAGAAATGAGAGACTCATGTCACATGGGAGGGCTGAGGATAGTGTTGCTCAAAGTGGGTGGACTGCAGAGGGTCAGCCTCAGCGAGCAGAGAGGGTACCAATGACCTTGGTGCTCAAGGTCAGGTTGACGTAGGACAACCCCCCTGAGGACCCCTACTTTCTTCTTTCTCCTCTCTGACTTCACAGAACCTCCAGCCTGGGGCTGGAGGGGTCTCAGTGGCAAGGCTCTGCTGCACAACTCTGGGGTCTAGCCTCAGTGAACACTGACTTCTCTTCCAATCTCAAAGCCATCATAATCCTATCCCACCGCTGACAGTGACTCTGGATGACAACTCAAGCCTAAGCCCACACCCAAGTTTGTTCCTAGCTCCTAATGGCTGGTCCCAAGTCCACTCTACATCCAACCAGTAACTTTCCAGGATCCTTCACCCTTGAAAACTACAAACCCTTCAAGACCATATTCACACGGTCCACACCCAGTCAAGACTTCTTTTGACCTTGTAGCCTTTGTGGCTGCCTGGCTATGCAAACCACTGTCCTGAGTAGGCAGATGGAGTTGGTGTCTCACTGGAGTGTCTTGCAGTGGCCCTGGCTCACTTGCAGAGGGTATTCACAGTGACAACGCCCCCCCCCAGGTCCACTGTGGAGCTCCACAGGGGGAAGCCTTATTAAGTATGGGAATACTCAGCTGCCTTAGAAAACACATCATGAGGCTTGGCTGGGTCTAGGAAAACATCTGTACCAACATCTGCTTCATAATGATTGCATGCGATGGGAAAACATGGCTTAATTCCACTCAGTATATTTCAAGCATATTTTAATCACAAAAAATATAGGAAATCACAGTTTTTGTCACTTAAAGTAATTGTGGGCATGATGGTCTTTGAAAGGGAGGCTGCAGGATTTTATTAGGCAGCCTGTGTTCATAGCTGTATAGGAGATTGGTCCTGCTGGGGTTCACTCCACAAACCCCAGAGCTGTCTCCATCCCTACGAGGGTCCCTAGATGGTCAGGGCTCCCAGGGAAACCTCCCCCACCTCCCACCCCTCCACCCCCCCCACACACACACCGTCGGCTAGAACAGAGGTAGCTGACTTTCCAGGGACCATTGGTAAACACTTTATGCTTTGGTCACTGCCTGGACCCTCTGATCACATGTCAGCTCAGCAGCGAAAATACAACAGTTGGAAGCAACAAGTCATGGATAGTGGCCATGCTGCAAGAAAGCTGTTCAGTAGGTAGGGGGGTGATCAGGCCCATGGACTGTTGGCCAAGCTATGGACTAGAAGGCTACACTGTTCATCTCTCCATCTCACTTATAGATTGTCCCTCCCTGGGGCTGGGTGACCTCCATCCTACAGGCCAGTGAGCCTGAGCAAGAGTGGGGAGAGTTGTCCCCTCCCCAAAGCTGTCCCCTCATGATGGCAGCCTGCTACCTCCCACTTCAGACAGGATGCCTGTTCTCTGCATCCTGGGACAGATTCATCCAAGGTGACTAAGCTCGATATTGGCAGCCTGCCTTGTGTTACTTCCAGGGATACTGTGTTAGTTCATAGGCTCTGCAGTTATTGGCCAGACAGCCCCTGACACCATGACAAGCTGGGATGTCAGTGAGTGTACCAGAATCTGCGCTCCCCTGGATGGTAGGCGGGTCTTCACTCTCTGCCCTCAGCCCTTCCGGAGTCTATAACTGTGTCTAAATTGTGTGAGTGAAGCCGCCTCGGCACAGCTTCAAAATCAGTCTTGCATAGCTTCCCGGAACTCATAGGAGCTGTCCCAGGAGTGAAGGATAACCCAGCCTTCAGTCTGTCCCCTCTGTATCATCACCTTGCTGGCCTCTGTCCACTGACAAGTGATCTATGTGGATGCACAGACTTGGCTGTGGATGACAGAGACCACATCAGCACCATTACATAGGAGTCAGATCATGATGCTGAGGATGTGCCCCAGGGAGGGACGGAATTCAGAAGGGCAGGATTGGGGCAAGGAGAGAAGCGACCTCAGAGACATGCGGTAGTGATAAGGAGGCCTGGCCCACTGGGCTCCACTGAGCATAAACTGGGACCTGGGTGTGCGTTTGGGTAGCCCGTGAGTCTGGGATGACTAAGAGGCTGAAGTAGAAACCAAACATCTGTGATACCTGGCAAGGGGGGAGGGCTCAGCAACTCAAGGCTGTGGTGGTGATATTGAAGGTAATGATGGTGGTGACAGTGATAGTAATCATGGTGATGATGTTCATGGAGATGATGGAGGTAATGTTGGTGATGCTGGTGATAATGAGATGATGGTAGTGATGGTGATTATAGTGATGAAGATGCTATTATGGTGAAGAGAGCAGAATGATAATGAGGATGGTGATGATGATAGTGATGGTTGTGATACTTATGGTGAAGGTGATGTAGTGAAGTTGATGATGGTGGTGGTGATGGTGATGGTAAAGTTAGTGATGACAGTGATGATGAAGTGATGATAGTGGTAGTGATGATGGTGATATTAAACTCAGTGATGGTAATGGTGGTGGTGGTGGTGGTGGTGATATAATGACAACGATTGTCTTTAATGAGCCAATCCTTAGATCTGGAAGCCCCAGGTGTGTAGAAAGCTACGTGTGCTTTATCAATTTCATCATGACACTTCTAATAAAACACACTGTGATCAGAATATTCTCTTTCCTCTCATGCAATCAACTAATTAGGGCTTTGATTGTAAGCAGCAAATTGATTCTAATCTTTGGACTCTCCCGCCTCACGCTGGCTTCCCAAGAGCTCCCGAGGGAGAAAGCAACACCCTGGATAATGAGGGATCAGAGGAAGCTTAAATATCAAAGGTTACTAGAGCAGCCTACTTTGTCTAAAAGATACACACACACACACACACACACACACACACACACAAAGCACACACACACATAAAGCACCCATGCACACATATACACGCATACACACAAACATACACTCTTCCTCTTGGTGGTATGCTGTTTATATGTGTGCGGAGGGGAGTGTTTTCAATGTGTATCTCTGTGCCTTGCTGGTTTCTCGTGGGACATGTGTCCACTCTGTGGCTTCTTCCCTGGGGCCGTCTGAGAGCCATCATCTCCATAGGCATCATGGCTGTGGGTCTCTCAGAATGGACTGCTGTCTGGTGATGTAATAAAGCAACTTTGACCAAAAGCCACTAGGAGGAGAATGGGTGTATTTGGCTTCCACTTCCAGGTTACAGTTCATCAGTGAGGAAAACCAGGGCAAAAACTTGAAGTAGAAACTATGGAGGAATGTTGCTTGCTGGCTCACTCAGGCTCATGCTTAGCTACCTTTCATGCTTAGCTACCATTCCCAGGACCACCCACCTAGGGAATGGTGCTGCCCACAGTGGGCTGATCCCTTCTATATTAATTAAAAATCAAGACAGTCACCTCCAGACATTCCCACAGACCAATCTGATCTGGCAGTCTTTCAACTGAGACTCCCTTCTCAGCTGACTCCATGCTGTATCAAGTTGACAAAGTGAACTAGGACAGATGGCATCCATACAGCCTTTCATTTGAGAGCCTTGTGGATACCATTGCCTGGTGTTTTCTTCATACTGGTCAGCAGATCCAGGTTAGGAAGTGGTGAAGTAAGGCTTCCATTCCAACTCTGCTCCCTGCCCCCCAGCCTTCAGGGGCTGGATGGAGCTAAGGGGGTACAGGTTAAGCCAAAGCCTGGTGCCCTGGAGCATGTGAAGTAAGTGGTCTCAACTAGCCTGGTCCTTTTTTACAGTACACTATTGAAGGCTGCAGAATCACCTTGGTGATGTCTGTATCTTAACCCTTCACATGCCAGCTTTTCCTGAGTGCATGCATGTTTGATCCATGGCTGCCTTTACAGGCTTATGTTCAAGGATAACTTCACCTGGAAATGAGGTCCTGCTTCATGTCTGAACAATGAATGACTCAAGTCTATGACATTCTTGTGATGGTGCCTCATGTAGCTGTGCTAGGACGTGAAGTCTTGGGTTGGTCTTGGTGGCATTGCTGGCCCTTCTGGACTATCATGGGCTGCAACTCTGGTTTTATCCTTCTCTGCTGTGTGCCAAGATGAGTAGAAACACACCACTTCCAAGCTCTCCCGAAGCACATGCCCCAGGTGACACCCATCCTGCTTGTCCAGGTCTGTCCACTCTTGATCCATCCCCACCTGTTCCACCACCTGTCCCCACCAAGGCCTCTGATACCCCTCCCAGGACCACGGTATTCACTGTCCAAGTACACCTGTCGCTAGAAATTGTCTCTGAGACCTGCCCCATAGTGCCATCCATGATTCCCTCACACCTGGCTGTTTCTACAATGTCTTTGCATTTGTCTGTCTGTGGGGATCCTGCCATCTGTGACCACAGCTTCTCTCCTTCTCACACCAGGGCTCAGCCTCATCTTCATCAAATTGTCGACTTTTTTTTTTTTTTAAGATTTATTTATTATGTATACGGTGTTCTGCCTACATGCCAGAAGAGGGCGCCAGATCTCATTACAGATGGTTGTGGTTGCTGGGAATTGAACTCAGGACCTCTGGAGGAAAAGTCAGTGCTCTTAACTGCTGAGCCATCTCTCCAGCCCCAAACTGTCCACTTTTGAAGGCCACGCAAAGACCTTCAGAACAGCCCATCCTGAGCTGGCTGCTTCTCCTCCCCCCACCACTCTGCCTATCCCAAGCTCACACATGCACACAGTAACCCTCTACTTTGATTCTGTGTCCCTAGGGACTGGCATGGTCATTGGCTTGTCCACTCCCCATATGCATGGATGACTGTGACTTTCAATCTGTCCCTTCACCTGCAAGTGGACAGGATATCAAGGGCCACAGCTCATGGAGCCCCAGGCATGAGGCCCATGGTTAGGTGCATGGTGGCTTCAGAAAGACTCCTCTCGGGGAAGCTACATATTTTTAAGTGTCTCAGAATGCACAAAGAGAAAAACTGGCAAGGGAATGGGCCTTAGAAGGTGAACACAAATTGCTGATGTATTCATACTTCATTGATTTTTTTTAAAGTATGGAAACCTGCCAGATAAGATTCAAGCCATCCAAGAGAGTACAGGGGAATGGTTAAGCTCTGCATCAATGCCTTGGGGCTGCCATCCTCACCCTCCTGAAGCTCCAGATTGCCCTGTTTTCTCACCTAACCCTTCATTTCCATTCTTACCCGATTCAAGCAAAGGCATCCCCACAACTTCTACTTCCTTCTTGTGACATGGACCTCTTGTTACCCAGTGGAGTGCTGTGCCAGGCGAGTGAGGTGGGGCAGGGAGGTATAGAATTCATGCTTGCCCAGGCGTGTGCACACATGCATGTGCACACACACACACACACACACACACACACACACACACTCACATATATGCACACGTGTGTTGAAGCATAACTGTTAGTAAGCTGCAGAAACCCCTGGCCCTTCAGTTCTGAAGCAGCTGACTGACTGGAACTGTTAACTAAGAATTTGGGAGAGTCCTGCCAGGGTTGCCCTATGATATCAGAGAAATCAGGGCCCCCTCTTGGGGTTCCTAGTTTCATTAATAAAAGAGTGTAACAACAGACTCAAATGGAAGCTTTTATTAGAGTTTTGAAGAAAATCCCCAGGGCAGGCAAGCTGTGAGTCTCAGCAGCTGCCTGAGGGAGAATGGAGAGAAGGGGAAAACCATGCCTGAAGGTCAGACATGGAGAGAATGAGCAGCGGCATGATGGAGAACGAGCTTGAGAAAGAAAGCCCAGCATACCAAAAGAAAGCACACTCAGCTCTGGCCGGCATCCCAAAGGAAGACACAGGAAAGAAGGAAAGGGGAAAGCTCTGCCTTTTGAGACCTGAATCAGAAAGGTCACAGACTCAACAGACTGCATGGAGGCTGATAGGGGCTCTGCTAGGCAGAGGGACTTCTGGGAAGGAAAAGTACAGTATCTCATGAAAGGGATAATTATTCCTTCCATCTCTTTAACATGGCTTAAAGTGTCCCCACCTTCTTAGGGGTGACCTCTCCTTGCTAGGGATCATCCCTTCCTCCTAGGGGTGTCTCCTCCTTCCTAGGAATGGTTCCTTAGCCAGACTAGTGAACTGCCCAACTGAAATGTTTGGTCTCCACTCAAGCCAGAGCTTCCGTGTCAGAATGAATTCTGCCTTTGCAGCCTGGCCATCATCGAAATTGTGGGTCAGGCTTCTGGGGTTAGTTCATATGGACTCTGGAGCAGCCCCTTTGTGGGTGGGTAGAAAGGTTTTCTGGGATTCTTCCTCTGTCCCACCTGGGTGGGTGTGGATGACAGGGCCAGGGGAGGATTTATTCCTAGCCGCTTGTAGGAATGTTCGTGAGAATTGAGGCACTTTTGAAAGGACCGCAGGAGCCGGGGGGTGGGGGGTTGGGGGGGTGTTGCCCAGGAGCTGGAGGTGTTTGTAAGCAGCCATTTGGGTTCTGGGAACCAGTCTTGGATTCTCTGCCAGAGCAGCGCCCACTCTTCACCCCTGACCTTTCTACATGGGTTCTGGGGCTCAAACTCAGGTCCTCACGCTTGCATGGCATGCGCTTTACCGACTTCCCCACCCCCAGCCTGTCTTTGTTCTCCCGGGAAGCACCACACAAGGCTTCCGGAGAGCCTGAACTTGGCAGCCATCGTCTCCCGATAAAGTCCATGCCACCAGCTCACAAGTGGACTTTCACTTTATCATTTGCAGGACAGCTGCGCCAGAGTGCTGCTATTTCGGGGTGGAAACAAGGAATTGAAAAACTACAACAGCCAGACGCCATTTCAGGTAAAGAGAGCCCCTGACTCCACCATGGCAGGCTGCAGCTCCCAGGCTGCATCGGGCCAGTGACTGTGGCCACAGTACCTCCTGTGGGGAGGCTGCTCTGCATTCCTGTTGCATGGCACCTGAGGTGGTTCCGGTTGCCTGTCCATGCAGCCTGCTTCCTTTAGACCAAACTGTGGGAATAATGCAGAGACTCATCTCTGTAGAAGGTTCTAGAAGGGCAATGCAGTAAGGCCACTTTCAATCTGCAGCTGTTGGAAAGTGCTGACTAAATAGTTTGTCTCAGAAAGTGTGAATTTGACGGGCAGGGGCTTATCGCTTCCTGTATTCTCCTCCGCTCCCATTCCAGCATGGAGGGAGTACAACCTCCACTGGGCCTTGCCTGGCCATGTTCTGGGAACATACAACTCAGCTCATAATTGTTGATAAACTAGGGAAGATGCATAGGACACAAGTGTTAACATCTTAACCTTTTTAGAAGATCTGATAAAACAAATTTGGTGGCATTAAGGGCATTCAGAATGTTGCTCAGCCATTACTGCCATCTGGCTGAGAACTCTACCATCACCCCCAAAGGAGGTCATGTCCCCACTAAGGTGCCACTTCCAGCCCCTCCCCCACCCCCAAGGCAGTCACTCAACCACTTTCTGCCTCAACAGAGCCTTCTCTTCTGGACAGTTCATACAAAGGGAACACATGGGCCATGACTCTGTGGGCTTGACTTCTTCAGTTGATGGTGATATTTGATGTTCAGCTGGACAATCCACATCTCCTAACACATCCCACTGTAGAGTGGAGGTTTCCCATAATTGAGCAATGCAGAAGGAGACAGATGAAGGTTTTTCTTGACATTCAGGATCAGAGGGTAAAGCCCTTTGTTGGTGACCAGGATCCTGTAGTCCTTGTACTCACCCTGTTTTAAAGCAGCGGCTCACCCTAGGCACTGGCCAGTGATGACTGTCACTTGGCACTGGGTAATATCATGGTTCTAGAGGCTGTGGTTTGCTGGAAAATGAATAAGACTTCCAGGCTATTCTGGGCCCCCTTTCTCCAGGGGTTTGGAATGTCTTTCCTTGTTGAGGGTTCAGGGGTACCCAGTGCTATTGGTATCGTGTATATTTGTTTTAAGATTAAGATCGCTTTGTCTTCTCTACGGATTTCCTCTTCGTGAGGTCATAAGCTGGGTTCTGAGATGCCTCACTGTTGTGTTCCCAGCTGAATTATACATGGAATGAGCTGGCCTTGGCAGAGCTCATGAGGAACTGAACCTGGACACACACATGCCCATGCATGGCTGTTCTCAGGGAGTTTCCGTGTAAATCTAGCCAGGACTCTGTTTTGCCTGTCCCCACAAGGAGCTGTGGCCCAGTGTCCTCCCTCCTGCCATCTTAGGAGTGGCCATGGTGTCATTGGTTAGTGTGATCAGTCCAGCCTCCAGCCCTGAAGGGGAAGGCTGCAAACCCCAGTTCTGATCTGCTGATGTCCCTGCATTAGCCTTGACCTGAGAGAGACTGTGAACTAAATGGTCTTTTTTCATTCTTATGTCTATACCTAGAGAATCCCAAGGGTTGTTAAGAGCTCTGCTCTATGAATGGAGGTAAAAGCCAAATATGTGATGTGATGTGTGTGTATGCATGTTCACATACAGGTTCATGTGTGCGTGTATGTACATGCACCTGTGTGTCATTCTTCACAATATACTGTCTGCCCTGTGTTTTGAGACTGGGTCTCTCCCTTGATCTTGAATCTGTCAATTAGGCTGGGTTGGTGTGTAATATGAATCTTAAAAGGTTTTATAATAATAATAAAAAAAAACCCAGAGCCAGATATTGGGGCAAAACTGAAAGATCAGACAAGTACAACAGCTAGCCACAACTTCTTATCTCTATGAAATCTTCCATCTAAAGAGCGTGAGTTCCTATTTCTCGTACCTTATATACCTTTCTCCGCCCTGCCATCACTTCCTTCGATTAAAGGCGTGTGTGCTTCCCAGTACTGGGATTAAAGGTGTGTGCCACCACTGCCTGGCTCTGTTTCCAGTGTGGCCTTGAACTTACAGAGATCCACACGGGGATCTCTGCCTCCCAAATGATAGGATTAAGGGTGTGTGCCACCACTGTCTGGCCTCTATGTCTAATCTAGTGGCTGGCTCTGTCCTCTGAACCTCAGATAAGTTTATTAGGGTACACTATTTCACCACACTGGTGGGTCACAGGACCCCAGGGACCTACCTACTGGGCACCCCTCAGTGCTGGGCTTGCAGGCCCATGCCACCACACCCCTACTTTTTAAAAAATGAGATCCGGAGATCAAACTTGGGTCCTCATGTGGGAGCCATCATCTCCCAAGTCCCAAAATAATGTATCTCTTGTTCATCACCACAGTGCAGGGTCTGGAGTCAGGCAAAGATGTGGTAGCCTGAGGGAAAGCATCGTTGACCGGGCTGGCTGGTAGCCTGCTGTTCCCGCCAAGGGCATGTGGCTGGGGAAGCCGCTCATTTTTATGTCTCTGCTCTCCAAAATTCTGCGAGTCTTATTTGGGATTCAGGCTCTGTGTTCCCATAGAAACAGGGGAGTTGAAGTTGTATTTCTAGACGAGGGACAGGAGCCCGAACTACCCAAAATGTGACTGGCAGACGATACATATTTATGATGGAAAGTGATCTGAGTAGAATCTGCCATCTCAGCCAGGCCAATGCGCACTACACTTGGAGTGACTTCCATTAGCAGGTGATGCTGCTTGCAGGTGCTGGGGGAAATGAGGCCAGCCAGGCCGCACCCTGCTCCCACCAAGAGTACATCAGGCAGACAGGTAGCCAGCAAGTAGACAGACGTGTACTGTACTATGTCAGGTCTGCTAAACAGCACGAGAAGCAAAGCATGGTGGGAGAGCAGAGTGGAATGGAGGTTGGTACCCCAGACGGCCTTCGCGACACCAGAGCAGAGGCCAGGAGAAAGGGAGGGATGGAGGGAGGGGGCCCTTTGGATCTCTGGCAGAAGGAGGTCTAGAGCTGGTAGCTTGTACAAAGGCCCTGGGGTCGGCATGTGCCTGGTGGGTTTTTAGAACGGCAAAGCTGGCTAGTTGGGGAGAGTACAGAGCCCGGCACCTGTGGTTGGATATGAGCAGGGCCATAAGGCTTGGCAAGGGCTTTGGATTTGATTCTGTGTGCATGGCCAGCAGAGCAGAAGACAGGTGGAAGTCAATCATGCCTTGTGAGGGCCAGTCATCATGCCACGTTATTGGCAGTGTGGGTGAGATCTTAGACCATGCATGAGTTGTCTTGGCTCTGAGATAGATCATAGAGCCCACTGTCAGTTTATGGGGCACGAGACAATGGAATTGGAATTTTAAGAAGTGAGAACCAGAACCTGAGTCCTATTACCTTGTATCCCAAGTGCACAGTGGACCTGGGAGTCATTCCTGAAGTAGGTTCCTGTGTTGCTTAATGATGATAGGCAACTGAATAGGATCTAGACTCACACTGGAGACCAGCCTCTGGGTACGGCTGAAGGAGTGTCTAGACTGGGTTATTTGGGGAGTGAAGACCCATCCTGAATGGGGGGGGGGGGGAGCACCATCCTATCATCTGGGATTCCAGACTGAATGAAAAGGAGTTGAATACCTGTGTTCATTTTTCTCTGCTTCCTGACTGCAGACACCTCATGCTCCTGCCCCATGCCTTCCCCACCGTGATGCACTGTACCCTCAAACTGTGAGCCAGATTAAAGCCTCCCACCCTTTAGTTTTATCCCAGTGATGAGACAAGTAACTCAGTCACTACACTGGTCCTCACAGATGGCCCTCTCTCAGCTCACTCGCTTCCCTTCCACCCTCACTCCAGCCACCCCAGCCGCTGGCCTTTTCCCAAGCATGCCAAGCACACCCATGCATCAGGACCTGTGTGTGTGTGAGAGCTGGCACCTCTATTAATAGATCCCTTTTGCAAGTGTCCCACCCCAGCAGGAGCACCTGAAGAAGTTGATGTTGAGATACACCGTATATACACATTTTCCTCTTTGCATGTAAACACTTCACACTGAAAATGGGGACAGATAGCTGAGGATAGCCCGCCATTAAAGGGAGGGCAGCCCAAGTGAAAGGAAGATTGGATAGCGGAAGTGAAGATGCTAGGTGGGAACAGAGACAACTTGGGGCATGGAAGGGACCTTCCAAATTGTCCTGACCTGATATCCTCGGTGTGGTGGGAATGGATATGGCCTCCGTGAGAGGTGGCATTCAAGGCTCTCCAGAGGAACACTAGCAAAGAGACAACAGCAGATAGAAGGAGGCCAAGGAGTAGCCAGGTTCAAGGTCTGAACGTGGATTTCCAGAGGAAGAAGAAACACGCAGAGACCTCTCAGGACAGTACCTGAGAGGAAGGGCATGGGGCCCACAGCTGGAAGCGTCTCAGAACACAGTATGATATCGGAGAGATGTCCTAGCAGAGACAAGTGTCCCAGTGGCCCAGAGCTCTGGGAACAGAAATAAAGATGGCATCCTAAAGGTTTGCAGGGTAACCCCAGTTTCAGAGGAGTGTCAGGGGCCAAGCACTTTGGAGGCAGCAGGGAAAATTCATTGCCAAGAGCTGTGGTCATTCTTCCCACACCTGCAAGGGTAGGGTGTCCAGTCATGTGATTAGCACACATTCTCACAAGGGACACTCCTGGGCCTGCTGAAGGCCACTGCCCCCAATGAAAGACTAGATTGCCACACAGAGAAACCCTGAGCTCGGGGAGACCCAGCACTGTGGGGAGCCAGATGGACTTGGAAGTGGTGAGGACGGTGAGGACGGGGGAGGTGAACTGTTGGGGATGGCACCCGGACAGAGGTGTCTGTGGGGTTTGTACTGGAGGAGCTTGCACTTCACAGGTGACACCCGTCAGAACCCAACAGTAACTGGAGGCAAGCAGGCAGATGTTAAAATGCGGCCATTGCTCCCTGGGAGGACCATCTGCCTGGCCGTGGCAGATGTAGGTGACACTGTAATGTGGACACTACATGGT